ATATATATATATATATATATATATATATATATATAATCAAATCAAACAAACTCATCAATGAATTTCAAGTCTAAAAATTAGTAAACCAATTAACACAGTCCAATTAGCACGTTGAGTTCTACAAAATTGACACAATTTTTTTTCAGATTATTTTTTTCGAAGTCTAGGCCATTGGACTATTGAGCTAACCCATTAAAATGGAACATGTTAGACACTTTTAATTTTTACACTTTCATGAAAATAGTTTAGTTTTTTATAGTTCAGTTCAATTTAATTTTCAAATAGTTCAGTTCAATTTTTTTAAAATAGTTTAGTTCAATTTTTTTATAAACAGTTTAATTTTTTTATAGTGTAATTCAATTCAGTTCACCACCAGTTTAGATTTTTTTGTCCATTCCTAACTATAGGTTGGTAACTAACTAACCTAAAAAAAATAAATTACCAAATTTTTTTATTAATATTATTATAAATATTAGTTTTGGTCCTCAAAAAATTAAATTGATATAGTCTATTAGGAATTTTTGTTATTAAATTAATTCTTCAAGTATTTAAACTTGTAGTCAAACTATTATCTTTAAGTTGAGTTGGTTTGTGTTGAAGAGAAATAAGGGTCCAAACTAATTCGAATCCAATGGGTGGTTTCATTTGATTTTTGGTGTGTTTTTGGGAAAGTCAGTTTGAAAGGAATCCATTGAAAAAACTAGTTGTTTTAGTTTTTTATAAACAAAAATGTTTTACAAAAATAAAATAAAAATAATTAAAAATTGATAGAAAAGAATCAAAAGACAAGTTTGTTTCAAAATTGATTACACAAACCATGATTGAACGATTGTTCATATGTAACTAATATATTGTATCAATTAATAATAATAACTTTTATTTATTTCATTGAAAAAATATATTTAAATTTTTTAATTAGGTCAATTTGATCCAATGGTTTGACATGGGTTAAGTTGAGTCAAAAAATAATAGTCTAAAAAAAAATATAGACCAGGTTAGTCTAACTTAAAATAACATTTAACCCATGTAAGTTAGATTAGACTAGGTCAGTTCGATCTATTTGATACCTCTAGTACCGATGAAATCATGCTTATAAATCAAATCCAAAACAAATCAAGAATAGTGGACTAGACTTAAAGAGAGAAGAATTGAGCTCATATTGAGCTTTGATTTATTTTTTAGTCCATATCTTTCTTGTAAATATTTTTATGTTGACCTTATATTTTGGATCAAAAAGTTTAGGATTTTTATTTCCTTGTATTTTTATCTTTATAAGTGTACTTAACCTTTTTGACGGGTGTAACTAGTATGTAAAACATGTAATTAAATGGACATGTGTTAGGCCTAGGTGACTGGCATTTACTCATGTGAGTTGGACGTTCACTTGGGATATACATGATAGACTCTTATTGGTTCTTTTAAATCTAAGTAATGGGAGAACATAACTCCTAAATCCAAGGAGTTAGGCGCCTAATTTTGAATTTCAAATTCAAAATTGGCATGCTAACTTTGCTAGTTAACAAACCTTGGTTTATTTCTAACCATAGTTTGCTTAACATGCTCCATAAACTAGACTAGTCTATATATAGGTGTTACTCTATTGTACAAGTTACTTTTGAGCATTTGAGTGAAATCATTTTGTGATTCTCTCTTCAAAGTCTTGAGTTCTCTCTAAAGGAGTGTGACTCCTTAAGTTCTTTTGTTAAAGAACTCCTCTTTGTGGCAAGAACATTCATTAGTGCAACAGAGGTATTTTACGTCAGTTATTTTAGGATTTTTACGTTGTAAATAAGTTCAACATTAATGTGGGAGACATAAATTTACATCGGCGGCGTCTACCTCTCCCGCGTTGCTGATCGGAAGCCCTAGGCCCTCTACGCGCATGAAACAACCTCACGCGTCGCCCAATCGCTCTTCGTCACCATCCCCGACCTCACAAACCCTACCATCTACCACGATGCCAAACCCTAAACAACAAAAATGATGAAGATTCATATATAGGCAATGAAAGGGAAATGAATGGAAGGCTCGCCAGAAATAGCAACTCACCTTCGCCGAAAACTCAGAAACACCCTTCACCGAATTCCAATCGGTCAAAAATATGGAGAATGACCCACCAATGACGAGCCGCCCTTTGCCAGAGCTCAAAACGCAACCAGAGCTCGTTCTCACCTTCGCTAGAAATCGCCCAAACGCTTTTCAGATTAACTTAGATCGCGCGCGCGAGGAAGACGAAGGCGCGCCCAAAGATATAAAAAGGTTTTTACGTCAGACTAAATAGGGGTCCAACGTAAAATTTCAAATCTACGTTGGCTGTGGCTTCTGTCTGATGTAATTTTACGTCAAACCCTATGTAGTCCAATGTAAAATAGTTCAACTTATTTTCAAAATTGCCACCGCATCTTTTTTACGTTGCTTATTTGTATGTCTGACGACAAAGAGATGACGTAAAATATTGATTTTTCATAGTGATTACTTCTTTGCTCATATTTTCCTTGAGGGGTGGCACCACCTTCTCCATCATCTTGTCTTTCATTTAAAGAATTCTTTTCAAGTTTTGGTGCCATGGATGAAGATCAAAGGAACAAGGATGTAATTGGAGTAATTCGTCCAACATTGCTCACCTTGTTTCCACCATTTAGCCTATGACCAACATATTCAAAATTGTGTTACACCATTTTCCTTAATGTTTGGTGGACATAAGGTTTAATTTTTATCTTTCTAAAAATCTAAGCTTGGGAATGTTAGTTTCTTTTATTTGGTTTATTATTTAAAAAAAAACATTGTTTCTCAATCATGTTTTCTACATAGGTTTCTCATAAAATTGTTCCCATAGGAGAAGTGAAAATTTAACATTCTCAAGTGAAAAGAAAAAATTTATTACCGTAAAAAAATCATATTACCTTTATTTATTTATTTAATACAATAAAAAAATTTGATTCTCAAATAATATAAATAAATATTCTCTAGAACATTTATAATTAACTGAAAAAAATTTAATCATTCATATAAAAATTATGATTCTTTAAATTTATAATTCTCATAAATAATAATTCTCGATCATCAAAAACTTTGATCTTTCTACCAATCGTTGAGCAATAAACCAGCTAAAGAGATTGCAATATAGAGATGGTTTAAAATCGATGGCATCTATGAAAATTAGAAATGAGAGATAAATTATTACCTCTAGAACTTGGTCAATACTTAGCATAATGAGCAACTTTCAGTTATCGACTGGTGAACTAACTTCAAGCTATTGCCAAGGTGAAAATAATGTTGAATAATAAGAAACTCAAGATATATGACACTCCAACCGGCCTTGTGAGTATAAATGAAGAAACCGAAAGCTAGACATAATAATGTGACATTGTGAGAATCACTTACAAGAACATAAGATCCAAACTGAGTTGTTTAAATTGGGGTTGATATAGTGTTTCTAAGATCAACTCTCCTACATTAATATTAAAATAATATAATTGACGAATAAAAATTATGTGTTACAAATGCAAATAAATTCTTAATTGTTAATTTTAAAACATTGTTTAAATTATGTCTATATATAGACAAAAAAAAAATGAAATTAAGATAACTAGAGATGGTCTTAGAGAAATAAAAATTGTTTTGGAATGAAAATATGATGGAGAATTAGATGCTAGGTAATTAAACTAAGCTGCGGAAGATTAACGCTTCCCTTGCAGTGGATTCTGTAATCCATGTATTTGTATATTTGGCATGTAAACATCCCAACCATGCTAATCAAAGAAGACTTAACCTAGTTTAGTTACTCATCATTTTTTCACTAATTGCCTGCACATGCATTGCGTTCCTCATACCTTCCTTAACTTCCTCTGTTCCTCTTAAAACCTACTTTTGTTTCGTTTCGAGTCTCCACTTGCCCTCAACCTTGTGATCCATTATTACACTTTAAGTTGTGTTGTAACATAAAAAGATGGGAAACAGCGTTGGTAACAGTGGGAGTTCTCCCCAGGCTCACCGCCACGACTAAATCTGCGATATGGTGGTTCTGCGATTACGCATTAGAGTTTTGCGGCGGCGCTGATCGAGGGAGGATTGGAGTTCAGCGACGTGTGACTCGAGCGTAGAGAACTCGCCAGCGATGTTGAGGTGCTTCTGCTCAATGAGGGCACAGTTCTGCTCGGCATTGATGTTGGCGGCGTCGGCCTTGCTGCGAACGGTGTCGAGCTCGGGGAAGCCAAGTCAGGATTATTAACAACTCCGGTAGGTTTTGGGGCAATCGTATCGGTAGTTTCAATCTTAATAATGTGAGTAACCTCTATGTTCCACAACGATGATAAATTTAATATAATTTCTAGAAAATCAATTTAAAGGAAATTTAAAAAATTACAAAATATATTATATATATTAACATATAAAAAATATTACTATAAATATAATATATATATAAACATAAATCTATTCAATATATATATATACAGAATTTTAATAGTTTTAAATAAGATTTAACAAAATATTTTGTATATCATTATAATTTATATTCATATTTTTAATAATATATTAATATATATTATATGTATATAAAAATAATTTTTAATAATAAATAATGACACCATGGTGTATGTATCATAATTTTTTTTTTTTTTTTTTTTAATGATGGTTCTTGAACTATATCACAAGTTTTTATGCTGTTAAAGAAAACAAACGGCCCCATCCCCTCTGATATAAAAGAATCAAACAAGTTGAAGACAAGAATCAAATGGTAAAAGGCACGGGCACTGGACAGAGAAAAGTGGTTTGAAAAATATGATAGAGAATTAGATGCTAGGTGATTGCTTACATTAATCTGCGGAAGAATAACGCTTACTTGCAGTAGAGTGCAAATATATATTCTGCAATGTGTGTATTTGTAACTTTGCCATGTATTTACCCTTCAATCATGAATCATGATAATCAATGAAGACATGCAGAAACTAGTTTATTTACCCTTCAATCCTCTAGTACCCTAAACTCAACTCATCCATTCCAATTTCTTGAGAGTTGAATACAAAAAGATGGGAAACAGTCTTCTCGGTAATAGTGGGGGTCTTCGATTTCCTTGGCGTGTACAGCTAGGAACATCTGCTTCCATCAACTTGTCCACACGTGTGGACTACACAGGCCTTGATGGAAGACTCCGCGAGACGTGGACTGTCTTATACAGCATAAACGGGTCAACTTGTGAGCTCAACTTAACAAAAATTTTCGGCAATAACGGCAATCTTTACCAAGTAGACTTCGAGCTCAGTGACAACGACAGTTATTTCAGCTCTATGATAGCAAGAGCTGGAACCAGTTTTCTTCACTTAAGTAGTCTCGGCAAGGAATATGGATGGTTTGAAACCAACTTCGGGTTGGTGAAGACAAACATGACCTTTGATTCACGTGGTGGTGTAACGGAGACCAAGGTTTACTGGTATGGGAGTGGAAACAAGGGGGGTCTTGTTGTTTTGGAGTGCAAGAAAAATAGTAGGAAGGATGAGCACTATAGTGTGGCCACTTTGGCTCACTATTTTGCTTATTTTAGCGGCATAGGTTTCAACAGAAATGAAACAGATATTGGCCTTTCTGTGGTGGCAAGGTTTCGACCATTCAATGGGAAATTGGATGTAACGGTGGAGGGTCCTGACCAACACCCTGCTACTTCATTGTTTCATATGTTTCATGAAGTGTATAAGACAGTTAAATGGAACCCTGCCATGTGCCATCATTGTGCTATTCCGTGGCAAAATTCAAGAGGGATGGCCAGTAGTGGAGGGTTCGTGGTAAATAATTTCAGTAATTACATTGAAAATTTTATGGCTTTTAAAAGAAACTTTTCACAGTGAAGACAGCTATAGCGAGCGAGGGTGTTCCTATACCACCATGCCGGGGCAGCAGCTGGCATGGCCAAATGCAAGAGTGATTTCCAATGGTGGAGGTTCAAGGATCATAAAAGATGGTAACTTATGTAGGTATCAACAAAGTTCGGCGCAGTCAGTTGAATTTTTTAAATGTTTTTAGAAGTTTGATTTGTATGCAAAACATTTATTAGAAGAAGTAAAACTTAATTTGGACATGTTTGATTCTCCATCACTTCAAATTCGATTCACGTCACATAGAAGCTACTGCTAATTAATAAGAGTAGCTTCTGGTAGACGATGGACAGAGTTTATGAACGCGGATCCAAATATTCTTGATTGATTTTTACGGCTTCTATTTGGGTTCGTGATATCTTTGATGATTTTTTTTTTGAAGTAATGGCTGAAATTTGTGACGCAACTAGTCTTACTTTTGTGCTGATGATCCCAGTATTAACAAGTAACTACCAACAAGTGCTACCAACCTCACACAAGACGGCGACCATCTTAATTGGAGGAACAAATAAATTTTGGTGATAATTTTTTGTTTGTTTATTTTAGTATTCATTAGACAATAATTTATAGCTGGTTGTAACTTGTATTATATGTGCAGAACCCAGAAAAGATGTCTCAGTTGTGCCTATTGTATATAACCAATTAGTGTTTGCACTTCAAGTAATTTCTCAATAATAGAAAGATGACAAGAGCGGAAATGAGGCATGCTATTTTATTTATATCTTTATTATTAATAATATTCATTGATTCTATAGATATATTGTTTCGATCGATATTGCTTTGTTTCTTTAACCAACACTTAGTTGGCTAGCGCTCTCTATTCATAGCAAGGCTTTTCTTCTGACGTCCTCCAAATCATCTTATTTTTTATCAACAAATGTTAATAATTAGTTGTTATGTGAGGGAAAGATTCAAATTCACTCCCTCCTTATAACTCCAACTTTATGTCCTCATCCCAAATCACTAGACTACCTTATAACTCCCTATATCATCTCACTCTTTGACAGGTTGATCGCAAAGTGCCAACAAGGTAGTCTCTCCATGTACATCAACATTTGCATCACCTTCTCTTAGAAAAGCATGGCCTACAATTCTCAAACAATCTTCCTGCAATTCTATGTACACTATTGGACAACAATAGAGATACTAAAACATGTTATATATAACATGTACCGAAAGTTTATATTGTTAAAGAATGCAAACACTAACCAGATATAAAAGAAAAATAGTAGGATCGGTCATCAGTATAATTCGGCGACTGTGGCGCACTACTTTGCTCATCATAATCACGGTATACCATATGGCAGATGTGAAACAGATATTAGGCTATCTGTGGTGGTAGAGATTCGACCATTCAATGGCAAATTGGATATAAAGGTGGAGGGTCCTCATCAACACCCGGCTTCTGCATTATTTTACATGTTTGATAAAATCCATGAAATCGGGATTTGGAAACCCACCATGTGCCCTCACTGTGCTGGCAGTTTTTGCGTAGCACCATGTTGTGGCAGATGGCAAAACGCTGGAGGGATCGCCAATGATGGATTGTTCTTGCAGAATGGTAACGGTAATTTCTTTGAAAAGAATTATATGGCTTTTGGAAGATCAATGTCATGGCAGTCTCATAGGGTCCGGCCAAATTCAATGGGTTGGAAATTTACGACCCAATGCAAATGTGAATGTGTGCACGAAATTTACTGGCCATTGCGAATGTGAAAATAGGAAGGAAATTCTGCTACCTGATTGGAATGATGAAGAGGACAGTGAAAAGGATCAGACTCCAACTGCTCTAGGTGTAAATTTCTTCAATAAATGTACAGGAAGAGAACCAATAAAAAATGCAAGCAATGTGAAAATTAAGCACTTTCCTCACATTTAGAGAGAAAATAGAGAGCCTATGAGATAATTTCTTCGAGAAAAAAATAGTGAGTCAATTTGTAAATGATATCTACAAACTGAAGATACATTAAGTCGACATGAGTCTTATAGTTTTTCTGTTTAAATTGAGAAGATTTTTCACACTATAAGAATTTTTCTTAATTACTGTTGGAAATAAAATGTGATACAATGAAAGTGCATATCTAAAAACGTTCTGACAAAAGAAAGACTTGGTAATCAAGTAAGTTTATTGACTCAAGTATACGGAAATTCTTAGTTTTCTATTCAGTCTTTGTAATTGAAGTCGTCACTTATGGAAATATGTTCAAGCTAATTATCGCCAATTACAGATTACGCATATATTGGAAGTCGAAGATAGAAGACTAGTTGTACAGCAAGGATTTGCATGAACCAACCACCGAGTACGTATATATGATAAACTGAAGGAAAAGACTACATAAGATTGGGAGCTTGTTGGGGCTACTCGAAAAACCATATCACTCAAAAGCTGTAATTTTGAAGTTGCTCAAAAGAAAGACAAGCAGATAGGTATCTACCAAGAAAAACATTAGGAGCCATAAATGTGTGTACTCGAGTATTGGTCGAGAAATGTAAAGAGATGAAGAGTTCTTCGAAACAGTTACAGTTACACTGAGGTAGTTACCAAAAAAGCTTGGTCGAAGAAGAAGAACGTGGAGGGGACAGTTAAGAAAAGTTACATGGATTCCACGTAATTTGCGCAGTGGACAGCGATTATGTACTCACAACGTACTTGCACAGAATTAATCACTCTTGACTAACTCTATAAATAAGAGAAATATACCCCTTCACAAAGATCGGAAATTTCATACTTGTATTCTTGAAAGCACTCTCTGCCTGTACATATGGTTTTCGTGCATACGATTGCTGAGTACTAATTTCTTGACCACATTTCTTTTCTTTTGTTAGGATTAGGATTAGCGTAGTTTTCTTCTTTTAATCACGTAGTTATAGGTTGTTCAACTTCACTGTTATAATTGTATCTTGATCATTATGCTAAGTAAACTATAATTTGTATTGCTAATATCCTTATTGTGCATTCCGTTCATTCGAGCATATATATGCATGAACATTATTACTTGATAATCATTAATGAAAATCTAGAGACAAGTAATTATTAATTTTTCTACTCCATTTTTTCTTATTCCTTAAAGTACAAAGCGTAACATACCTAAATTGAAACAAACTAGTGCTAGTTCAAATAAAAAGAACTCATAAACAAATTCCACCACAAACAGAACTCCAAAATCATAAAGCAGTAGTTGTGATCCATCATTGTACTTCTTTTAATTAATTTATTCTGCTTACTTTATCAGAATATGTTTGAACAGAAGAACAGATATTGGCCTTTCTGTGTGGCAAAGTTTCAACCATTCAATGGTAAATTAGATGGAATGGTGTGGAGGGTCCTGACCAACACCCTTCTTCTACATTGTTTGAAATGTTTCATGAAGTGTAAAAGACAGTGAAATGGAAGCCTAGCATGTGCCTTCATTGTGCTCATATTTCGTGGCAAAGTTAAAGAGGGATGGCCAATAGTGGAGGGTTTGTGTGGGGAATAATTACAGTAATTACATTGAAAATTTTATAGCTTTTAAAGGAAATTTTTCACAGTGAAGACAGCTATGGCGAGTGTTCCTATACCACCATGTCGTGGCAGCAGCTGGCATGGTCAAAAGCAAGAGTTATTCCCAATAATACGGTCTAGGGACTATATATAGAAGAAGATTGTAACCGGATGGTATACCAATATAGTTGATATATAATTGGGTCAGTAAAATATAGAAGAAGACTTGATGTTATTATCAATTAAGAAACCACAAATAGATGGACCCAAATTTATGTCACTCCAGTCTTACCTGTGCAATCGATCCCATTATTAGCAAGTAATTACCGGCATGTGCTGCCAGTCTCACACACGAGGCCGCCACCATTTTGGAGGAACAAAATAAATTTTGGTGGTTATGTTTTTATTTTTTACTTAGTGTACAATAATTTAACTGGTTGTATTATGAACTTGTGTCTGTAATCTTTCGGTGCTTGCATTTCAATGTTCTTTTTTTTTCTTTCTCAATAACAGATATAGATTACAAGAGAGGAAAAGGAATTATGATTTTGAACAACTAAATAAATAGAACACAACATTGGTATCCTACTTTTCCCCCCCTAATATATGTAGATATCATTAATTATATCAATCACTAAATTCTCTTTCTTTTCTAATCTCTCTCAATTTGACACCTCAAATATATTTTATTAGGAAGTAAAGACTTATTTTGTAATAAAATAAATTTCTTAATTTGTTTGTGTTCATCGTGTGTTGAATGATTTTTTTATTTTTGTTTTTGTTTTTTAGCAATTAAATATTTCGTGCTTTTTACGCAGAAAAAAACAAAAGAAAATAAGTCATTTAAGAAAATGATTTTAAAACTCTATACCAAGTTTGATATTGTTAAAGAAAGCAAACACCTACCGGATATAAAAGAATTGAATTTACAGGTTCTTATTATAAGCTAGCAAGTTTCCTGTACATAGATGAATCTAACAAGTGGAAGAATCAAGAATCAATTGGCCAAAAGCAACGCACTAGACAAAGAAAAGTGACCTGAAAATTTGATAGAGAATTAGATGCTGAAGAATAACGCTTCCCTTGCTGTGAGAGTGCGAAGATTCTGTAATCCTGTATTTTTAATTTTTCCATATGATCAACATCCTAAGCATGCTAACCTGAGAAAACCTATAGCTTAGCCGCAGTACTTGTTTTCATACCCATATTTAAAAATAATATTTGTATTTGGTTTTATATTTATGTGGATAACAATTTTAATTCTCATCTTCGTAGTCATTGGGTACATGTATATTCATACTCGTACCCGTTACCCACATTTTACATATATATAACGTAAATAAATCAATAAAGAGATAATATTTTATACAAGAAAATATAATATTAATTTGTCAGGTCTTTAACACTATAAAAATCTAACATAACAATTTTTATAAATAAAAAATACAAAACATTCAATTCTTATAAATAAGTTTTTTTAAAAAATTCAATATAATAAAAGTTGTAATTAAACTTCTAACGTTATAATCATGTGTTAACAGTATTTTCTAAGACCTGTGAAAAATTATTATACAAAAATTAGTTAAATTAAAATTATAGATTAAATTATATACTATAAATTTAAAAAAAAATGTAGATATTTGATCTCATCATGAAAGTCAACTTCCTAAATCCTTATTAGTGTTAGTTCAAATGAAATTAGATTGTGATTTCCAATGTCCTTAACTAAAAATTTCATAGTAAGCGAGGCAATCACATACAAACACACAGATTCTTTGAAAGTTCCTTGCAAATTAAACTACTAGCATTCTTCGAATAATAGAACACAAATACAACACAATTGATTTATAGATTCTCTAATTCTATTCCATTACTTTTGCTGAAGTTGGAAAAAAAAAAAATCTTTCCCAAAATAAAACAAAATAATTTTTTATTAATAGATAAAATAAAATATTTGTGAGAATAATTAGAAATTTTTAAATCTAAAATTTAGTATCCCTAATGTGATGTTATATGAAATTATGACTAACGAGTCTTCCAACAACGAGCAACCCAAACAAGGTGGTGACATATATGAGGTGGCGAGACAAGGATACGAGATAGAGATGCGACTAACAATGCGTGTGGCAATGCAAGGTAGAGATGCGAGCACAACACAAGGCGGAGATGCAAGTAGAGATGCAAGGTAGAGAGACATGAACGACAACGTGAGGCAGAGACACAAGTGACAACACGAGACAGAGATGTAAGAGGC